CCCCCCCAGGACACCCCTCCCCTCAGGATCTCCCCCCCCCATCCCGCCCCGTACCCGTCACCACCACCGCCCGCCGCGGCTTCTCCATCGCGGCTCCGTCCCGTCCCGTCCCGTCCCGTCCCGCCGCCGCCGCCGCCCCGCACTGAGCGCTGGGCCCCGCCCCGCCACCGAGAACGCTCCGCCCCCCCACCACCACCGAGACCGCTCCGCCCCGCCGCCCAGAGCGGCACACACCCGCCGCTTCCGCCGACGGGGCGGAAGTAGCTCAGCGGGAGGGGGCCAAGCGCCGGGGCCGCCTCGGGGGCGACCAGGCCCGGAACCGCGTCGCCCCCACCGGGGCCTGTGCCCGTAAGGGGGCCCGGTGGAAGTTGGTTAAACCGTTACAAGAGGCTCAGCCTCATCCACGCGCGGGGTTCTCCTCCCCCTGTGTGGGGGGGGTGGATTTCAGGGGGGCTGGGGAGAACATAAACCGGGGTCTGGATCCGCCGGTACCGGGAGGGGCCGCGGGGCACCGCTTCCCGCCGCGCTCTTCAATTTGCGGCGCTGTCGTAAAGGCCGCGGATCTGGGCGCCCGCTTTACGGCCCGAGGTCGGGTTCCCCGCTCTGATTGGTTCCGCCGGGGCCGCGCCTCCCTCTGATTGGCTCCGCCGCGGCGGCGCTGCCTTCTGATTGGCCCCGCGCGGGGCCAGGGGCGGTTTGAGCGGCAGCGCCCGGCGCGGCGGCGGCTCCGCGGCTCCGGCACGATGGTGAGTGGCGGCGGGGTCGACCCGGGGGGCTTGGGGCCGTGGGGAGGGCCTGAAGCTATGGGGAAGGCCTGGCTTCCCTCCCTTCGCTGCCTGGGGCGGCGGGGACGGTGTCCCGCTCGCTGTCGCCGTCGGTGTCCCGGTATCCGGTGCGGTTCCCGACATTCCTGAGGCCTCTTTCCTCCTTTTCTCTTACAGCTGCCCTTATCCTTGCTGAAGACGGCTCAGAACCACCCTATGGTGAGTACCGGCAGCGCGGCCCGGTCCCGCAGTCCTCCCCGGCCTCGGGTTTACCGGGGCAGGTCCCGGGGCTGGACCGGCGCCCCCTGACTCCTCTCTCTTGCAGCTGGTGGAGCTGAAAAACGGGGAGACGTACAACGGGCACCTGGTGAGCTGCGACAACTGGATGAACATCAACCTGCGGGAGGTCATCTGCACATCCCGGGTAAGGCTAGACACCCCACCCCCACCCCCCCGGCTCCCGGCCCCGGGCAACCGGTTGGGGCCACCGGGGAGCGTCCCTGGGGGTGCCCGACCCCCGGCCGTGCAGCCGGGATGGCTCTGCTGTAGCTCAGAGGCCATCACTCCTGTGGAAGCATGATTTCTGCCTGAAATGCAGATTTTATACAGTTATTTTTCATCTCCACGACAAAGGAAGGGGCTCGAGGGGGGCGGCTTTCTGTGCCACCCAGGAACACCCCGTGAGAGGGGGCTTGGTGTGGGGCTGGGGGGGGCACAGGAGAGGTCACAACAGCCCCCCATGCTGAGCTGGGGTGTCCCAAAAACGGAGCTTTAGTCTCTCACATGCTGCGTGAGACGAGGTGCCCGCTTCAAACGCCGCGCTGCCTCTCGTTAGCTTGCTCATCTCTTGCTCCCTCCCTCCCTCTCCACATCAAAACAGAGGAGCCTCTTTGTTTACCCACAGCTGGTGCTTTTTTGCCCTCGGCCAAAGTCACTCTGAGCAGATCACAATCTTCATTTTTGGGCTCTGACCTCGCTCGGAGGTGTCTGGTCTTGTCCCTCCTGGTGTGCGCTGTGGGAAGGGGCAGGCGGGTGGATGGTGGCTCTTGCTGCTCTTTCCCTGCCCCTGGCTGGGGGGGGCACAGGAGAGGTCACAACAGCCCCCCATGCTGAGCTGGGGTGTCCCAAAAACGGAGCTTTAGTCTCTCACGTGCTGCGTGAGACGTGATGCCCGCTTCAAACGCCACGCTGCCTCTCCTTAACTTGCTCATCTCTCACTCCCTCCCTCCCTCTCCACATCAAAACGGAGGAGCCTCTTTGTTTACCCACATCTGGTGCTTTTTTGCCCTCGGCCAAAGTCACTCCGAGCAGATCACAATCTTTATTTTGGGCTTTGACCTCCCTCGGAGGTGTCTGGTCTTGTCCCTCCCGGTGTGTGCTGTGGGAAGGGGCAGCCGGGTGGATGGTGGCTCTTGTTGCTCTTTCCCTGCCCCTGGAACATCAAAGCCACCAGCAGAAATCCTTGTTCTTCTGAATATCTCTCCATAAACCCCCCGGTACCTCTTGGTTCCACAGCAGGAAGGTTTTGAGTGATATTTCCAGGGCACAGAGGCATGTTTGTACCTCGAAGGTGGGCACAGTTTAGCTTCTGGTGGGACAAACGGGAAGGAACTGTGGTCAGATTTAGAGAGAACTGACAGAAAAGCATTATTTGTGCCCGAAACATGGGTGATGGATTCTGCTCTCTCAGGCAGGTGGCATCCTTGCTTCAAGGTGGCCTTTCCGAATCCTCAAAGTCATAAGCGTTTGGGAATTTTGTACTGATCAGAGAGTTGCTAATTGCTTCAGTTAGGTGGGTCTTAGCTTTTCTGCTCTCCACAGCGTCAGTTTACATTTTACTCTGTCTTATTACTCCAAGCAAATGGCAAATTATTTCAGTGGTGCCCAGGGACAGGACAAGAGGGAATGGGCACAAACTTGAACATAAGAAGTTCCACCTGAACATGAGGAGGAACTTCTTCACTGTGAGGGTGGCAGAGCCCTGGAAGAGGCTGCCCAGGGAGGTGGTGGAGTCTCCGTCTCTGGAGACATTCAAAACCTGCCTGGACAATTTCCTGTGCAACCTGCTGTAGGTGGCCCTGCTTTGGTGGGGGGGTTGGACTAGATGATCTCCAGAGGTCCCTTCCAACCCCATATCATTCATGTCTTATGAGGAGAGGCTGAGGGAGCTGGGGTTATTCAGCCTGGAGAAGAGGAGGCTGAGGGGAGACCTTATTGCTCTCTACAACTCCCTGAAAGGAGGGTGTAGAGAGGTGGGGGTCGGTCTCTTTTCTCAAGTCACAGGCGACAGGACAAGAGGAAACGGCCTCAAGTTGTGCCAGGGGAGGTTCAGGCTGGATATTAGGAAAAATGTTTTCACTGAAAGGGTTCTCAGCCATTGGAATGGGCTGTCCAGGGAGGTGGTTGAGGCCCCATCCCTGGAGGTGTTCAAAAGCCGGGTTGATGTAGTGCTGGGAGGTATGGTTTAGTGATGATGCTCCTTGTTTGTTGTGTGGGTGTCTATTTTTGTCAGTGAGGTTGATGGTTGGACAAGGTGATCTTTAAGGTCCCTTCCAACCTAGAAGATTCTGTGATTCTGTGATAATGTCCTTCTTCCTGGGAAGTGGCTTCCTACGGCTCGGTGCTCTGCTGTGGAAGAGAAGTAGCTCAGGTTTGATTCCCTCTGAGTGATCTTAGAGGGATGCTGGTCACGCAGCGAAGGGGGCTGGAAAACAAACGTATGAGGAGCAGCTGAGGGAGGTGGGACTGTTTAGTGTGAGGAAGAGGAGGCTGAGGGGAGACCTCATCACTCTCTACAACTTCGTGAAAGGACACTGTAGAGAGGTTGGTGCTGGTCTCTTCTCACAGGTCATTAGTGACAGAAGGAGAGGGAATGGCTTCAAGCTCCAACAGGGGAGGTTTAGATTGAACATTAGGAAAGAATTTTTCACCCAAAGAGTGGTCGGGCATTGGAACAGGCTGCCCAGGGAGGGGGTGGAGTCCCCATCCCTGGCTGTGTTTAAGGGCCGTTTAGATGCAGTGCTGAGGGACATGGTGTAGGGGAGGACTTTGTAGAGTAGGGGAGATGGTTGGACTCGATGATCCCAAGGGTCTCTTCCAACCTAGACCATTCTATGATTCTATCAGCAGCGCTTCTGCCTGCCTTAAAACACCCAAACCCGGGTGAAAGCGGAACTGGAGCCGCCACTGGGGTTGTACTGGTGGCACTGGGAGGGACTGGCCGCTAGATGGCACGGAACGGCGGCGGATTGGGCAGCCCTGGTCCGTCCCGGGGGCGGTTGTTTACTCCGGGGAGGCCGGAACGAGGAAACCAGGGAGCCTGGCTCCATCCCTTCCTGCATCCCGAGCCAAGGAGCAGCCAGGCGGATCCAAGGCAGGGTGGGGTTTGCTGGGTGTCTTTTTGGAAGAGGAACTCTTTTTTTTTTTTTTTTTTTTTTCCTTTCTGCCTTGTCTTGCGCGCGAAGGGACTTGCCCGGACAGGCAGAGTTGCCCCAAATAACTCCCGAGGTGGCTGGGAGGAGAAGGAGGAGGAAGAGGAGGGGGGGAAGGACTGTTTTATCCCAAAAGAGGAGGAACGAGGCGTTCTTGTTTAACCTACTCTTCTGGGAGGCGACGGACGCCTCGTCCACATGCTGCTTCTTGAGGATCGTTGGGTTGGAGCCATCCCTTCCACAGCCAAACCCTGACACAACCCCTGCCCAGCCGGGGCTGCCGTGGGGGAGCGGGACGAGGCGGGTCCCCTCCCCTCCTCCCAGTTACATCATGGGGCAGCCGGGTTGTTGTTCAGCTTCCCCCCCCTCCCTTCCTATTCCCACAGCCACCCTCGGGACGTTGGGAGCTGAAGCCCCTCAAGAGAGGGTTGACATCCTAGGAAAGCCCTGAAAGGTCCTTCAGCCAAGCTATTTCACTGAATTTCACTGAATTTTAGAGTTGGAAGGGACCATAGAGATCATCTAGTCCAACTCCCCTGCTGAAGCAGGATTGCCTAGAGCTAGAGCATGTTACTCAGGAGCATCCAGGTGGGTCTTGAAAATCTCCAGAGAAGGGGACTCCACACCCTCCCTGGGCAGCCTGTCCCAGGGCTCTGGCACCCTCACTGTGAAGAAGTTTCTCCTCATATTTGAGTGGAACCTCTTCTGTTCCAACTTGTGGCCGTTGCCCCTCGTCCTCTCAGTGGGAACCACTGAAAAGAGTCTGGCTCCCTCCTCCTTCAACCCTCCCTTGAGACACTTGTAGGCATTGAGAAGGTCTATTGAGGCAGCCCTCCTGAAACTGGACAAACCGTCCACACCTGATCATTTCTCAGAGGAAAAGGGAGGCAAGAAAAGAAAGAAGCAGAAGCTACTGTTCAGCACCTCTGTTGTTCACACAAAGCGATTCTGCTATTCAAGAGAAGTTTTCCTCTCCTGGTTTTCTTTTCATTTTGCTTTGTTTTGCTGCTATAGTTTAAGTATTTAAATTTGAACAGGCTAAACTTGTGTTTCCAGGGCTTTTAGGGGGAAACCATGACAGTATATGTTGAAGGAAGGTGTTTAAAAATTAAAAACATCCCTGGAGGTGTTCAAGGCCAGGATGGATGTGGCCTTGAGCAACCTGCTCTAGTGGGAGGTGTCCCTGCCCATGGCAGGGGGGTTGGAACTCGATGATCTTTAAGGTCCCTTCCAACCCAAACCATTCTATGATTAAACACCACGTAGAGACGGCTGCTCCATAACTGAGCACTTGAAGACTTTCTTTTTTTTATAAATATATCATCTGTAAGCTCATTATTTTCCACAGCTGTGGTTGCTGTGCTCTGGTGGCACACACCCCGCAGCCAGCTGGCTCCGGACCTGCCTCGCTGCTCCATCCACACCCCAGAGGAGAGAAGGAGGGAGGTGACTCCCAGCTGGGAGAAGGAACCCGGCCGTGCACACGCCTTGGCTGGAGCTGCCTTTGGTTTTTTTCTTTTTTCTTGCCCTGGTTGCTTTCTCGGAGCCGTTGTAACTCACCACACTTGCCTCGGGCCAGTCCTGCTTTCAATTCCCTTCTTACACGAGAAGGGAAGGGGCTTCTTTCCTCAACCTCTTCTTCTTCTTTCATTTTCTGCCAGTGTTAGAGGCGGTTGTGGAACACCGTGGCTGCTCGTGGCTGAATACCCTTCCCCTCCCCCGGGGTTGCAGGTTTATGTGTTTTGGAGGGAGGAAAAAAAAAAAAAGAAAACCACCATTCTTTTTTGCAGCTAGTTCTAGAAAATGGTTACAGAAAAGACTGGTGGAGCTGTCACGCTCTCCAGAAGCGATGGAAACGTTCAAACGCCCCAAAAAGCGATACAAAAGCACCTGGTTTTGTTTGTGAGTCTAACCCGTTGCTCCCCAATAGGATGGAGACAAGTTCTGGAGGATGCCCGAGTGCTACATTCGTGGCAGCACCATCAAATACCTGCGTATCCCCGACGAAATAATTGACATGGTGAAAGAAGAGGTGGTGTCCAAGGGCAGAGGCCGCGGCGGGATGCAACAGCAGAAGCAACAAAAGGGCCGTGGTGTTGGAGGTGCCGGACGAGGTAACGATCCTGGTTTGTTTGCCAGCTGGGAGAGCGGTGAGCGGGTTCCCTGCCTTTCAATTTCCCCTCTTGTGCAAGGAACAGGCTCTCCCTTCTCACCTTTAAACCCGGGACTGTTTGTCTGGGAGAAGCCGGAGCCGCTCCTGGGTGAGATCCTCGCTCCTACGGCAGCTTCTGCCAGGGAATAGGAAGGATTTGTGCCAGGGAATAGGAAGGATTCGTGCCAGGGATGTGCCTCCCTTGTTACTGGGGTTGGGCAGGAGCTTAAGAGAGTCTGAACTCGATTGTTTCTACCCCTCCTGGCTGGTTGGGGAGCGTGGCCCTACCAAACTGGTGTCTTGTCAGTTTAGCAAGTCTGGGAGGGAGACAAATGGCTATTCTGTTTGAAAATAGACTGGGCTCTGACCATGGCAGTGATAGAAAAACATCATCTTTTTCTCCCATTATAATGGGGCTTTTGATCTCTTGGCTTGTTGATTTATTTATTTAAAAAAAAAAAAATATGTATAATCTCTCTCTCTCTCTCTCTCTCTGAGGGTTTGTGTTCCTCCTGCTCGACATGAATAATTCATGTTTCTGATAAAAGGGCAGGTTGCCACTTAGGAAGAAATAGGTCACCAAAACAACTCCTCCTTCCCTGCCCCACTTCGTGGGGGTTGGGCGATCTCGGAGCGCTTCAGCTTGGGGATAGATTTGCTCTTTTTCTCCCCGAAAAGGACCCACTGGAAGCCCAAGAGCTCTTTTTTCTCCTTCTCCTCACCCCCTCCTGCCACGTCTTTTGGGATTCACTTTGTGGTCACCTCTCTCAGCCCCGGGGTTGCTCTCAGCGCAGTAGGAGCTTAAAAACCCCGAGTGCACTCACTTGCTAAGAGAAAATTGGGGTTGGCCTGGGAAATCTTAGGTTTTAAAAGGAGCCCCAGGGGAACTGAGGCGCCGAGAGGTGAAGTCTCTCCACGCAGCACCCTTAACGAGCTGCCTGCCTTTTGACTATGCAAGGAATCCCAGGAGGATGGCTGGGACCTACCCGGGGCCATCACGCCATGCCGAGACGCGCGACGTGCGGCGTCTCCGACTCCCAGGGACTTCTGGAGCTAAAAAAAAAACCCAAAAACCCTACGATTTCTGCTGCCCCTGCTACCTCCGGGAAGCTCGGAGCATGCAAAAAAAGTGACCTTTACAAATCTGAAGGCGCCTTTATTTTTCCTCCTTCCCTTTTCGGTGTCCAAAAGCGCTTGGCATAACAGCTTTTTTGGATATGGGTTGTTTGGACAAACATTTGAGCTGAAATATTTTTCTCTGCTGTGGAAATATCCACCTTGTGGAGAGCAGAGCTGAGCTCTGTTTGAGGTGGAGTCCCCTGCTGTTTTGATGTGCAGCTCAAATTCGCTGATGGAATATTTTAAAGGGAAGCGCCGGCATTTGCTAATTAGCTAAAAGGTTTGGCTCTCATTACTGAGACATGAAGGGAGGAGGAGAGGGGGGGGGGGAAAAAAAAAAAAAGAACCATAAGCAGGACAATTTTGTTGAGAGGCCAGCAGGCAGAAGTAAAGCTGTAATTGTGCACACAGTTGAAAGGATTATTGTTTCTGACACGGGTAATCCTTCGTCTTTTACTTCTTGGCCTGCCAAATGGAGAACTACATCCCTCTTTGCTCAGAGCCCCGCGAGCATCCCGAGGGCTGCAGGGTTAGGAGCAATTTCTATTTCTTTGCCTCTGGTTTAGGCACGTCTCCTCCACGCAGCAAGCAGAGCAGAGGGCTCTGGAGAAGGTTTTCTGTCTCATCCCTGGGCTGGCTCCCCTTTGGGTCTGCCTTTTGCAGAGGGTAGATCCACGATCCCTTTATCTCTTGCACAAAGAGATAAAAATTACCACCTGGGATTGCTTTCTGGTCGTTGGGGGTGAGTGTGAGCGAGGAGGGGGGGGGCTCAGCAGCTCCCCTGACAGAGATGGTGGCAGCTTTGGGGTATGAAGACGCTGGTTTGTCCCCAACAGGTCCCACCACATCCTCCTGGTTCCCACTGGAGCTGAGGATCTCTCCATCCAGGAGCCAGGCCATGGCAGAGGGATGTGTTTCATTCTACTTTACAGCCAAGCAGTCCCCAAACCCAGTCACCCTCTTCATTTCTCTTGCTTTGCCCTTAAAGTTTCAGGGGGGACGGTGTAACCGGCTCATCCCACTGGGTTTAAAAGGTGCTGTCGCTTCCTTGGTTCCATTTTTCAGAAATTAACATCAATTTACCTTGAGAGCACAAAGGGATTGTTCCCTCCCCGGTGTGTTGATGTTTGTGTTATCCCTGAACTTGCCGAGGAGGGGAGGATAAGTTTTTTGCACTCTGTGAATACCAGATCTGGAATCATAGAATCATCCAGGTTGGAAGAGACCCTTGGGATCATCGAGTCCAACCATCTCCCCTACTCTACAAAGTTCTCCCCTACACCATATCCCCCCAACACCACATCTAAACAGCTCTTAAACACATCCAGGGATGGTGACTCCACCACTGTACAACTGTCAGTACAACTGCTCCTCCAGCCCTCTACAAAAATACTCCCAAATTGGAAAAATCTACCAGCCCCATTTCTGCCTTCTAGCAGAAAAAAAATAGGCGTTTGGGTAAAACAGGACTAAGTGTTGAGCTGTGAGGGGTTGGGAGAGGTTACACTGATGCTCTTGTGTCTCTGCTCTTTCCTTTCTGCCCCGTAGGTGTGTTTGGTGGCCGTGGCCGAGGAATCCCAGGCAGTGGAAGGGGCCAGCAGGAAAAAAAGCCGGGCAGACAATCGGCGAAGCAATGAAGAGGGTGTCTGCACCCCCCACACCCCCCCCCGGGGGACAGCACTGCGACACCCCTTGGGGTTTTTATTTTTCTCACCTCAGGATTGCCATGTGTTCAAAAGCGTTACCTTTTCTACTCTTCCGTCAGTCCATCGGTGCCCGAATCTCACCTCTTTGGAAGCCCCTGGCGATGATTTAATCTGGTAAAGTGGGAGTTATTCACACTCCTGGTAGTAAGTCATTGGAAATATTTAAACGTAATCATTCACGGTTAAGGACTTAGGTTCTGCCTTCTCCTCAGAGGTGAAAGCGCTATTTAATTTTTCAGGATCACCGGGTTTAATTTAAAAGATTATCCTGTACCGTGGTACAAGAACGAAGGCAAAAACACTTTCTGGATTGTTTGGATTATTATTTTTTTCTTTTTTTTTTCTTTTTTTTTTATACTTGAAACTTGGGAAACTTGTTGCATTTGTAACAGATGCGAGTGTTTGGGTTTAAAAACACTGAACTTGAGGATATTGGATCTTTACGGGAGTAGTCTTAAGGGTTTGGGTTTGTGGTTTTTTTTTTAAAAAAGAAAACAACAAAACAACAAACTTTTAAGCTATTGCTCATCTTCTGTTCCTGGCCAGTTGCTTCCGTCGCTCTCCTACGGCTTAAGGGAGAATTTGGGATGAACATGGGCCTTCAAGGCTTGTTCCCAAGAGAGCTTTGTGATAAATGAGGGTTTCCCAATTAGCCTCTTACTAATTTGACTTCAGATTAGAAGCTTCCTTTAAAGGTTTTCCATATTTCCTTGTGGAAGGCTGGGCTGCCCCTTACCCTTTACGTTGGGGTGGGGTTGGTGGTTCTTTTTTTTTGCCTGAAAAGCAACCAAAGCATCGAGTTGAAGTGATTTATTTTCCCCTCCGCTTTGAAAACTCTCTCCCTTGTGCCCCTGAAGGCACGAAACCCTGAACTCGGACAGTATTTCTCAAGCTTCTTTCTTCTGGTACCTAGTGATTGGCTTCACTACACCTACTTATCATTTCCTTTCCTAATCACCCCATTATCTTTCCTTGGGGCCACGGAGCAGTGTCCCTCCCGTAGGTTTAAGAAAGCTCCTGGGAATTCCCAGCTCGGGTTGCTCCAGTCTTCCATCCCATGGGGTGCAGTGCCCAAAATGCACCCCCAAAATATCCTGGCTGATCTGAATTGGGGAACCGGGGGGAAGAAAGAAGCTCTGGCTGTGCCTCGGCCCCCAGAATGGATGAAATAGCTCAATTTTAGGAGAAAAGCTGATATTGTGATTTGTTCTGAACAGGTTTTAATGTCTCCATGGGGGGGACCTGGGGAAGAAAGAGGCTCTGGCCGTGCCTCAGCCCCCGGAATGGATGAAATAGCTTAATTTTAGAAGAAATCTGATATTGTGATTTGTTCTGAACAGGTTTTTTGGTTTGGTATTGGTTTTTTGGTGGTGTTTTTTTTTCTTTTCACAAGTGATTCCCATACCGAAGCCTACTCTCTGCCATCGCCACTGTATGGAAAAAAAAAAAAAAGATGAGTGAAGAACATGCTTTTATATATACTTATTTTTTTAATGTTTATAGAACGCAGTGGTGAGTAGGAATAAATGGCCGACCTGTATGAAATGCCTCCCTCTCTCTGTCTGCCGGACCCCATGCGCCCCTGTTTTGCCTAAAACCCCCCCTAAAAGTAATAAATCCCCAGATGTGATGGGCTAAACCTTTGGTTTCCGACAGCAGCCGCGTGTTCACAGAATCACAGAATCTTCTAGGTTGGAAGGGACCTTAAAGATCATCTTGTCCAACCGTCAACCCAACTGACAAAAATAGACACCCACACAACAAACAAGGAGCATCATCACTAAACCAGACCTCCCAGCACTACATCAACCTGTCTTTTGAACACCTCCAGGGATGGGGCCTCAACCACCTCCCTGGGCAGCCCATTCCAAGGGCTGAGAACCCTTTCAGTGAAAAAATTTTTCCTAATATCCAGCCTGAACCTCCCCTGGCGCAACTTGAGGCCATTTCCTCTTGTCCTGTCGCCTGTGACTTGAGAAAAGAGACCGACCCCCACCTCTCTACACCCTCCTTTCAGGGAGTTGGAGAGAGCAATAAGGTCTCCCCTCAGCCTCCTCTTCTCCAGGCTGAA